TACAGTGTGAAGCGAATACTTACAGCTTCAAAAAAATACTGTGAAAACTTGACAGCGTCTAAAGTAGCTGAGGTTACAATTAACTTTAAATCTGGTCTCTTTTTTACAGCCTACAAAAATACACAGTTAGAAAAAATAACATATTCCTCCACACTGAGCAGACAATACATAAAATTCATTGTATAGCAGATACCACATACTAAACTAGTATATTTTGGTTAAAATTTTTGTTAAATCTAGCTATTCGATCAATCAGAGAAAAGAAATTATTTTAAGTAATATTATGGATCTTGTCTGTTAGAAGAAAGGATGCAGTAATATGGAAACTGAACAACTATCCATTTTAAATGACCGATCTGTAGCAATAAAATTTACTTACAGCTTTCAAGAGTCCAAATAAGACATCTGTATGTATAGTTCTTTCATGAGCCTCATCTAACATAATAACAGCATAGGATAATAAATCACCATCAATTAAACATTCTCTTAATAACATACCATCTGTCATGTATTTAATCTTAGTTTCTGGTCCCGTACAATCTTCAAAACGTATAGTGTATCCAACCTGAATTACAATAACACACAAATTGTAGTTCATTAGATATGAAGCCTAGGTTAAAAAGATTCATGTGACAAAGGAGTTTAAATTCATTTTATAACATTATAAAATAAATTATTTTCATCCTTACCTCTTGACCAAGTCGACACCCAAATTCTTCAGCCACCCTTTTAGCAACAGACATAGCAGCTACTCTTCTAGGTTGGGTACATCCTATTTTCCCACGGGTAGTGTACCCAGCCTCGGCTAAAAATTGGGTAATCTGAGTAGTTTTACCAGACCCGGTCTCACCAATTACAATCAATATCTGGTTGTCACTGACAGCCTAGGTAAATAAAGAAGATTTTCAATTCAGTCTTAACTGTTTTCAATGAAACTAACAATATAGAAGTACAATGAAGTAGGAGGACATATGATATCATGCTTGAGGAGGTGCAAATACTTCAGGATAGCTTAATTGCACAGAAAATGAAATCTAGAGAATATCACTTCCTGCGAATATTATCTCACAAAAGGTTATCATAACAAAGGCTGTTGACTTGACTATTTTCAATTGCAGTTTCTGAATATTCAACCATTTTTTGGTAATTGTTTAATGAATTAATTAAGATATGATTCTACCTTAATGAGTTCATCTTTTAGTTTGTAAATCGGTAAGCCCTGTCTCTGTTCTATTATAGATTTCTTTTCTTTTTTACCATAACTAGCTTTACTCCCACCAGTTATATGTTTCTTCCAATCAGGTACTTCTTGTGGTGCAGCTCCAACACCTCTCATATTAGCTGCTAACTGGCGTGAATCAGCTGTAATAAATAATTTTTGAGATATCAGTTTGGAAACAACTGTCAGTCTCATATTGCAAAGTTTTTAAAAATCTTCTTTTGGGTCATATTTATGTCATTAATGAATAAATTTTCAAAAGTTTATCATCCATGGCCAACCAAAATAGTCATGTATCAAAGCATTTCTCTTCACATCCATGCAGATTGCCTCAAAGGAGACATCTGTATCTGATGTGTATTGTGAGTACAATACAACTAGCAGGAAGCCTATCTGAATTATAAAACACTCCAATTCTATGTGTATATTAACAACCTTGAACAGGGAAAAAACTTACTCTCAGGCATAGGATCAATCCAATGATTATTGAGACCAGCTGGTACTGTGTCCATCTCAGCTTCACGTTCAGCTTGTTTCATCTCACGTCTTTCTTTCTGTAGAGCGGACTGCATCATAGCTGACTGAGCCAAGGAACCATCAGGATTCTACAATAACAAATTAATTTTTCTATGTTACATGGAGTACAATATGCTACTAGGTTGCACAATAGGAAAAGAGTATCAGAAAACCATGAAAGAGATGCATAGACAAAGACATCAGCAGCCCACTTCTTCAGCCTAATATGGCGCAATGGACCAAAGTGTTGTTGCAAGACTTTATTTTCTCTGTATCTAACATGCAATAGCTTAAACTTTAGCAAAAAGCCCAACTCAAATATTTTATGTATCTTTTAAAAAGCAGAAGAGCTTAATTGCTGTACCTTGACTATTTTAACTGGACTAAGATCAACAAGTTGACGACCAGCACCTGATAAAAATGGTGCATCATCTTCATTGATTTCTACCTCTATATCTTCATCTAGAATGTAACAAACAACATCAATAAAACAATACTGTAGGTATCAGAAAATGTATAACACATAATTGACATCATCAATTTAAAATACATTTGCATCAAAACGGTTACTGGAGGTTCTAAATTTGTATGATATCTAAAAAAAAAAACAAAAAAAACACACAGCATCGTCTTAACACTTATGTGCTGAATATCACTTTATTCAAGTATAAATTCAATATCGGAATAAAGTTAGTTACCTGAATCGTCATCTTTTGGTAATAACCCCATTTCTTCATCAAAATCTGGTAATTCAGATTTATCAATACAATTAGCAGCCAACATCTGTTTAATTTCCCATCTTTCTGGAGATGAGATACGTTTAAATTTCTTCTGACCAGAATTCAAATTGTCTTGTTCTGGTGCATCTATAAGAGGCAACATGGACGGTCTATCAGGGTTCCTGGCAGTCTCCTCTGCTTTACCTTCATTTCCACCAGCAGTTCTTGACTTTCCCGGATTCAAGTCTTCACCTGTATCTTGATCAACATCCTATCAACAAGATAGAAGGTTTTCAGTAAATTCAGAATCAATATTTTTTTATGAGAAAAAAACTACCTTAGAACTATTGGTCTGATAATTTCCAAAACTGTAGTTAACAATGTATTTAAACAAATTTGTTTAATCTATGTTTATGGGGCATTGATTATACACAGGTTTTAGGGATGGCATCAATCATTACTGGCAGTGAGAATGTTACTTATGATCTGGCAGTGACAACAGTCTAGCTAAACTTCCATATGACTATATGACCCTTCCATTTAATTGAAGGAAAGACTTTTTGATTTGCAAACTTAAATTCCAAAGCATATAAAATATAGAATAATTACCTTCATAGACAGACTAGTTTTACTGCCATTAAATGATAAAACTTTAACATGAACTTTCTGACCTTTTGATACCACATCACTAACATTAGTCACTCTACCTTCTCTACGTAGCTATAAATAAACATTCCAACATATTACATATGTTTAATCATAATTATGATATAAATAATTGTAGAAGAATGGATGCTGAAAGATACATAACTTTATCAGTTAAAAGGAATAACTAATTGTACGGAAACAGTGGCATGAATGATGAAGTGTTTCTGATGGTTTAACAGGAACTAGAGATAACTGCCCAGGAATTTATTGCAAAGGGGCTTAAATTCATTACTGTTTGTTTGGCATTATCTAGCAAAGGACTAGAATCTTAAAACGTAATAAGTATTGACTAACCAGTCTTATCTTTAAGCAGAATTATCAGACAATTGGTAAGAAAGACAAACATGTATGTGATTTCTGGCATTTGTCATTCAAAACAAAAATAGTGTACAGAGAATGACTATCATTTTTTTAAACATTTCTAACAAAATGAGATGTGTTCAAATAAGCTTCTTAATACATTTAATACAACATATAAAGTATCATGAAAAATGTTTTTGTAACTGAATGTTTCCATCTGATTTTTCCTTTTAATGATGATGTTAAAATAAAATGGACTGTGCAAGTGCTGATGACATGCATAAAAACTTGATGAACATATTTGATATCACATACCTGTGAAATATGTACTAAACCTTCATGTTTCTTTCTCAACCCTTCAATTAACACAAAACATCCGAACTGCATCATAGTCATTATTTTACCATGATAGATCTGAAATCAGAATCAAAATTTTATAGTCGAAAATAACAAAAAAATCTGAACCTTCCTCAGTATAAAGTAAATTCAAATGGCAAGGGCAAAGTAAGGCATAAAAAACAAATTTTGGTCATACCTGTCCAACAACTGGATCCATTGGAATATCATTATATTTCTCTCTTCTAGGCTCATCACGATGTTTTCTATCACGACTTCGTGACCTCCTCCTTCTTCGATCACGATCATCAGGTGACCTGTGTCTATCACGTTCATATCTATCATGTCTCTCTCTAGATCTACTGCGACTGTGACCTCTATACCTTTCTCTACTCCTACTACGACTTCTATTTCTATCTCTACTTCTACTCGGAGATCTTCTTTTTCTACAATATCACATCAAATGTTTTAGATAGCAAACCTAAACAGCTTTTCAATAATATCTGATTAGGATCACAATAAACGACACAAGCATCTTGTCCAAATAAATTCAAATCAAATCAAGATTAAATCATATTGCTAGACCATGATGTATGGAGCATCCACAGATCTAACATAGTTTATTAGCTATCAGTCTTTACTTACTTTTTCTTTCTTTCTCTACTTCTACTTCTATCACGTTTCTTTTCTTTGTGAGATCTGAAATTGAATCACAAGAGATGAGATAACCACATGAACAATGACTAGATATTTATCAAAATTTGAAAGCAAACCCAAGAATTTCTCATACAGGAATAGCATGCTCATTATGGAAGCTTTTCAAGTCAACGCTCATAAAAACATTAGCCTTGGAATCAGAATATATCTTAGCTATTTCATTGCTTAAAGGGATAAATGCACTTAAAGGTTGATTTGAGTCTTGAATATACTAAATAGCATTCAGAAGTACTAGAATGTACGAAAATAGCATAATTCCTTCCAAAATATCTCAATCTAAGTATTTCATTTCCTATTTCTATAGATTCTATATATTGCAGTGTTTCAAGAAAAGATGAGTCGTCATTTTAACATTCAAACGTAGATAATTCTGGACACACATGGATTTGAAGGCTCATATTTCGACGTTAGGCTGTGAACACTATTAATGATTGGTTTAGTACAATTAGTCAAAAAAATGGTGCATCTGTCACTTTAACATTAAATTAGGCATCAAAAAATATTACAACAATAGCGTACTTTTTTCCACTTGATTGTTTAGCTTGTGTCATCAAAGCCTCTAATTCTCCCATCATGTCATCTGCTATTTTTTCATCTTTTGGTTTCATCTTTTCTTCATCTTCATCTTCTTTCTTTATTTCATCAGCTAACATATCCTATATACACACAATTTGAAATACATGTACCATGATTTCACCAGGAGAACCCCGGCACTAATAAAATGACAATTTCCCTCGAGACTCTTTGTTATTCTCTTAGCAAAAGCGAAACTTTACACACAAGTGACATAGATAAAGTGGATTTTAATATTATTTGAGGTCAAATTGATAATTTTCATTTTTAAGTACAACATACTAAATTCACAATGGTTTCCTTTATGCTCAATTTTACATTTTCACATGCAATCTTCATGCAAATATAAACTGAAATTTTTTCTCTGTACGTACATTGAATTACACTAGAAGCAAGAATCAACATCAATATCAGTTATCACTTACCCTAACTTCAGGATTATTGGGAAGGGCCAATCCAGGAAACATTTTCCTTTTTAACTTAACATCTTCCGTATCCAATTCTTTTTCAGTTTCTTCAAACGATTTTTCATTTTCATCACTTTTTCTTGGTTTTGGCTTCATTTTATTTATTAATCTTAACAAATTAGCCACCAGTGAGTCCTGAACAAAAAAAAAATATATCAAATTTATTGCTGCAATGTAAGCCAACAGAGATTTATTTAGTGTTCATGAAGGCAAACATGGTCTTGGATATAATATGGATTGTTTCAAAGGTCATTCACATGTCCTCAAGACAAAATGTATCAAATAAGCTTATACTTGATAATTAATCAAACTTACAGAAAATTCAGCATCTCTTTCATCCAAAGCCTTTTTAAATGTATCAAATGTACTGTTTTTCTCTGCCAAGTCAATAACATATTCAGCTGCAAATAACAAAATCTGTTTTTATTAACTTGCTATGTAAGCTTACTCTTCAGAAATCATCAGAGCACTGGTATCCCCAAGAAATGTTAAATAAAAATTATCTTCTATCTTCATATTCCTATGCTATTGTTATGAGAAAAGTTAAATTTCATCATATCAGTTACCAATGCAGCCTATACAAACTGTGATTACAGTTTTACAAGGTCAAGAAGTATAATCATATTGTTCAATAAATTTATAGGTGTACTCATACAATGGCATATGAAAAAAAAACATAGTAAAACATTTCTCTTGATAACAATGCCTGTTAGAGTCATACAAAACTTTGAGTTAATAAATGTCATAAATAGTATACCCATATATTGTGCCCCACTGTCTACAGAAAAGATCGGATTATAATAATTGTCAATAAATAGACAGCATATGACCTTGTGTTAAACTAATACTCATAATTATTATAATTATAATATTGTAACTCATTAAATTCAGTGCCAATCTTACAAAGAGGCTTAGCAAATACAATCTATCTACTCACCTAAATCCTTATCATTGATTCCCAAATGATTTTCTAATTCTGTACAAACTTTAGAAACCAAGGAAAGATATTCTAATTTCTGTAATTCATCCATTGTGATTAACTTTGCTCTTTAACTGGATTACAAAATGTAACCGAATTTTAGTCGAATTTCAATTTAATCATATTACTCAAATAGATAATTGATGTCAAAGAAGTATGTTATCTTCTTGTGACCTTGGCCAGTGCTTCTATAGTAGAGTATCCAAATGTCCTACGATCTAATCACTAATAATGTCTTTCGTTTCAGGATGGCATTCTATAGTGTTGTTCAGTCACTCAGTCCAAAGCCAGTCAAGAGTCGCAGTAGGAAGCCAGGCTCTGCATGCATAGGTCTATAGGAGTTACTAAACTTCACTATAGGATTTAAGTATCTCGGCTAGTAAATTCATCCCTGTGATTGATTGGCATAAGCTTATCGGTTAGACTGTTACAATAACTTCAATTGTTTGCTTTAGCAATGAACCTGCTCAAAATTAAGGGCATGAATATTCAATAATCAGAGACATTTATTTGTTATTGTTTGTATATTGTTTCTGACATTGTGTTCTTGTATCTGTGTTAAATTAAAAAAAAGGTGTTAAATTTTAGCTTAATCTCTAAAACTCCTTGAGATCACTATCAACTATGCTAATCAAAATAGTATTGTGGTTCTTTAATGCCAAATTTGGAAGAATGGGTTACCTCTTTGACAATTTTGGGGGCATTGTTGTAGTAGTTCAAACATAAGTTTTGTCTCAGAGTTTGAGATAATTATAAAGAAAGAAGTATGATTGTGCGAAAAAATTTTATTCTTAACAACAATTTCTATCAATTTTGTCTCAGACAAGAAAACGAGAAACTAATCTGCAAACGTACGGTACGAGATCAAAAAAAGTAATACCAGAACTATTAGATTTGCTCCTATTTTCAGATGATTAACGTCGTTTTCATGTTTTCCATTTGACTCCAATTGTTTATTTCCGGTAACTCTTTTTAAACTTTGAAGACTGAAGAGTTTCAGGATTTACTCCCCTTTAATAACTCTTTACAGTAAGACTGGTGGAGGAACAGAAGGCCTTTCATACTAAACAAAACTTTTTTGTTGTTTACCCCGAACTGTCAAAATCCAAATTTTTACACCCTTTTCATGACTTTGATCGATACTTTCAGTTTAGCGGGAGTGGTAAACTAAATTGAGGAAGGTCAGGTAGGTCCTTTTGAGATTTAAACTCTTTCCATTCAATATTTACGAAATAACCAATACCATGATCAGTCTTATGCCATTATGGTTATACAGTACACTTTTAGTTTTATCAATGCAAAGTCATTGACATTCTTAGATTATCAATAATGCTTGGAAGCTTAATATATAAATTTACTCTAATTAAATGGGCAAAATTCAATATATGCACAAACTTAAAAGGCAGAAGAGTTTAGGTTATTATTAATCTTTTTTTATGTGCAGCTCTTCTGTAATTAAAGAAAAAAACATAGAAAAAAAATTATAGACTGTCATCCTTTCAGACTAAACTGATCCGCCATTCCATCTAAAGCTTCACACCAAATAAATGGGTCGAAGCTATTGTCCATTTGGCATTGATTGGCTGAAATTCGTGTCACATCAGGCTACACTAAAGTAACAAAATTGGGGTTCCTGGTTGTCAATTCTAATCACCAAGTTCTGGGGTCAATATTCTAACCATTAGATTTAGGCTGTACCTGTTCTTTGTGTAATGATAAGTGATCCAGTTAACCCTTCAGACATAGCCCAGTGTAATGCAATTTAATTGCACTTTCTATTGTAATCTTGTAATATTATGTACCAAAGTCCTGTTCTTATAACCAAAGTGGTCATATAGATCCTGTTTCTTGTCAATGTACAAATTGTGGGATATCACCTGTCAGATAGTTGTCATATATAGATTAGGTTTCTCTATGAAACAATTTGTTATGTTATCAAGAAATGGGTTCTACATGACATGCTTTAGGTTCACTCGGTTCAAAATTATTAGAATGGGACTGTGGTAGAAAACCTGAATGGAGACATAAAATATCAGAAAGCAAAAAAGTATTATTTTGTGTTAAAAATTAAAACGATATATCTACATTATGTCTATAGGCATACTAGTAGTCAAGAAGATTTTCGTATAATGGTTATTTGTATGGATATTTGCTCAATAAAAATATGAAATAGGTACAATCATACTGAAATTATTCTGATTATTTTTATATTAATTGGAATATCATCTTCATAATATAACTAATAATCTTAAAATAAACTTTGTGCAGATTTAAATGTAATTATTGCCACTTGGTATTATCTCTTTTGAATTTGTGTTTTCTGACAGAAATTTTATTGAAAATCATCTGAAAGGATAGTGTTTTATAATGTTTTGTTTCAAAACTTGATATCAAACTAAGACTTTTACATCTATATTAATGCTGATATTCTGATTTATTTAAATTTGGAAATTCTATTCATGGACCAGGGCAAGGATAAACAATTCCAGTTACCAACCAATGTACTTAAATCTTCATTCAAGATTCCCATCAAATCAATAACAATATAAATATATGAATTATTATGTAATATCATCTTGATACTAGTTACAGGCTATTGATAAATGAGAAAATGCATTTAAACTTAAATCAGTTTCAATCTGATATTTTATGTTTTTTACCATACCAAGCCTAATCACTAAAGAAACTTTCTTCCAAACATATTTATCAAAGTGATATTTCTTTATTTTAATTAGAATATTTATTAATTCTAAATATTATTGATTGCCTTAGAATGACTTGATTGATAACAATTAATATTATGTCAAAGACTATCTGACAACTTTTGATTTTTATTTCTAATAAAAAGGAAATTTTTGTAAATTTACTTCATAAATAACTGAAAATCCACTCAGTAAGAACAAGTGAAGACTCATCATTTCTTGAAACACTGTCATATAAAAAAGAAATACAGAAATATAATGTGAAATTCCTTGTTTGAGTTGCTTTTGAAGGAATCGTGTGAATTTTGTTAATTTCTAGTACTTCTGAAGATTATTTACATTATATTCAAGATTCAAATCAACCATCCAAAATGATGCATCTGTCCCTTTAATTTGATTTGTAATTAAAATAAGAAATTAACAACAACATAAACCTATAAAATGCTATTATTTGATTTAAAGTACATTGATCTGAAATTCTCAAAACTTATCATTTTTTTTTGAATGATCAAAAAATGTTTGAATTATTTTATTCTATATTTAACTAATGAATTAAGGGAATCCAGTTTATGGTGAAATTGGAATACCCATCATGACATTTTTCAACCAGTCTCCAATGTTGCCTATATGTCACATATTATATAGAGCTAAATTGATTGAACTATATGACATTTAATATGGAAAAATCTGGTTGCTAAGGAACTATCCTGAAAGTGAAAAGTTTATGATTTATAACATCAAACAAATGAACTGATTAAATATTAAAGTAAGTGTAAATTTATAATGATACACTTCCTGGAAGTATTTTTAAAGATCTGTGTAAGTAATCATTTTAAAATCTAAGGTAAAAAAACATATACTATATTAAAATCAATCATGTGAAAATACATATTTTTGATTTATTTTGTACTGGTAGATATAATTTTTATGTTATGTAGTTTAATAATGTATGGTATATGATTCGAAATTATTTTCTGTCTTGAATCTTTTTACTTTTTTTTCATATATCTTGATAATTATGATCATGTAAAAGTAGCAGACTATTGCTAATTTTCTGCTATCAATATCACTTTCAGAATTAAAATCTGGCATCTGGTTCTAATACAGATCAACCATAGCATACAAAATAAATTTGACTGTCATCACTTCTAGGATCTTATAGTTATATATTATCATGCAGTTATTATAATGTATCAAAATCAGTAATAACTGACACAGCTGATCAAGCAAATATGAAAATAATAGTGTATCTTTTAATGGAATAGAAGTTTTAATCAAATTTTTATTCTTCGAAATTTTTGAATATATGAATGTTAGCAGTATTGAGGTTTAAGTTTCCATCTTATACATATTTTAATCCAGTGTAACAAACTGTTCAGTGAAGATCGAAATAATTCATAATTTTATAAATATAGTTTATAATATGTATCATTATTTAGTATGAACCTTGCCTTATCTACCATGTATTCCTTTAAATCAGACAGATTTTATTACTTCAGAAGTATCAATTTTCTATTGTTACCAAATAAGGAATGATATTGTCTTCTACTTATTGATTATTATTGTTAAAGAATAAGAATAAAAGAAATACTAACACAATGTCATTTTATTTGTTTTACAAGGAAACCATTTAAAATATCTGCTTGTAAATTCTTTGTACCGGTACTTGAAACTTGAAATTTGATGTAGCAACCAACAAAACCCTTGTAACCCCCAACAAAACTGCTTGAAAAAATTGGAGATCTGCCAAATAAAATTTATTTTGCTTTACAATATGATGATATCTTACCAGCATGCATTAAGATTTGAATGGTTTTTGGAGTAAAACAGTCATAGTAAATTTGATCAAAAATATTTTGATCAAATATGTGTAAGAGCAGAAAAGTGTCTCATTCCACTTGTACATTAAATATTGAAACAATGTTTTTACTGACAAAAGTCTGTTAGCAATGTAAGCAATGTAAGCATTTGTTTATGTTAAAAGTTTATTCCTTACAGAACAATGTAAAAGGTATATAGAAGAGTGAGACCATGTTAAAGGTGTATCATCAGTACAGTAAGATTATAGATTTTAAAAATCTACCTAGTCCTGAAGGCGTGTGGACATTACAAGATGTTGTTGGAGAGGGGACATATGGAGAAGTCTACTTGGCTAAAAACAATGATACAGGTACAACTAGAAAGTACTAAGAACAAATTCTCAATGATTAAGAAAATACCGAACATCTACACAAATTCTTTACAGATGAGCTACTTTAAACAATAATTTCTTAAATGTATTAAAGAGAGTAATGGATGACTGGGATTTAATATTTTCTTATTTTAACCCCAAAAATCCTACTTAACTTAGTAATCAAATCACAAATATTGACCTCAAGAAAAACATCTTGAAAATAAAATCCAACTTAATATAGTATGTTAAGCTAATTTTCGTGTTGTATTACTTCTCTTTATGAGAGTCTGATAATACTTAATGGAATACTTCCAGGCCAAGAAGTAGCAGTAAAGATTTTAGAATCTATACATGAAGTGGTGGAGGAAATAGAAGAAGAGTATTTAGTTTTCCGAGATTTAAGTCATCATCCCAATATTCCTGATTTCTTTGGTTTGTATCTGAAGACTCTAGACCTTGGTGAAGATCAGCTATGGATGGTTATGGAGGTAGATTGTTCTTTTCGCCCAGGACAAGTACATTGGAACTTGTTCACAAAAACCTTTAAAAAACAATTTAGCTGTCTAAATAGATATCTGCTTTACCAACTGATAAAAAATTTAGGGCCTTCTTCTCAACAACATTGATAAGATATAATCCAGATTTTAAGAAATACAGTTATCTAATTGGATAATAAAACAAAATTTAAAATAAAATTTAGTGATTGACCAATCAGACAACTGCAACACTAAAATCATCTTAAATTTTCCAGAATGATACCCATGACGTTTTGTTTCATTACAATTTATCAAGAACTTTCGTCCATCCATGAGCCACTGAAATTCAGTTCATTGAGTAACTTGATAAATTACTGAACTATAGCTGGTAAATTGTTCTAAATAGCTGGTAAATTGTTCTAAATTGCTGGCAAATTGTTCCGAATAGCTGGTAAATTGTTCTAGATAGCTGGTAAATTGTGCTAGGTAGATGTTAAATTGTTCTGAATAACTAGTAAATTGTTTTGAATAGCTGGCAAAGCAAATTTAGACAACTGAATTAGAATAATATCTTCTTGAGTTTATCTAATTTCAGTATTTGGGAGTAAAGGTCTTTGAAATGCAATAGAAAACAAAATATTTCTGACCAGATAGATAATTCTTTTATTGCTCACTGTATTATATCATCATCATCATCATCAACTCAGGTCGGTACAAAATAGCTTTGCTTGTTTTCAGTTATGTGGTGGTGGGTCTGTCACAGACTTATCAAGGGCATTAAGGAAAGAGGGATCTAAATTAGAGGAAAAAATCATAGCATATATTCTTCAAGAAACATTAGTGGTAAGTATTTATGTTTATAGTTTAATGCTTGAAAGCTGAACTATTTTTGTAGGCTATATAAACAGCTTTTTGGATAGGGTCAGCTATCTGTATCACTTTTCAGAAATGAAGTCTGATGCAAGAGCCTAAGTATCTAGACTATTTTAAAGATTTACACCCCTTGTCCTTGCCAGGCTATATGAATATGTCCTTGAAGGGGTTATCAAACTGTGTAAACATCAATACTCCCCTCTAACTGTAAGATGGAACACTGTTTTTTTGTGGCAGTGAAATATCCCTGTTAATAGCGAGTTGGATTGTCGTCTGCTAGGTGATTAGCTACCGTGGGTTTGAATCCTCCTCACAGTAAGAAAAATTCTAATGTCTGTACCAGTGCTTTCGAGAGTCACCCTTGTGTCGACTCTCACCCCCTAATATATACAGTTGTACTAATGATGTCTTAATTGAATTGTATTTAGAATTTATCAAAAAAAAGCTGTACTTAAAGTTTGTTTCAATCATTCTGGTGGTTTGGTATATTGAAATATAGATATTTCTAATGTTCTATAGGCACTGAAATACCTCCATGATAATAATGTAATGCACAGAGATGTAAAAGGCAATAATATATTATTAACTACAGCAGGGCAGGTTAAATTACTAGATTTTGGTAAGTACTGGGTTTAATACTTCTTTTTTCTTCGAACGCACTGCATTGTTTTGCAATTGTTTTTTTTTTTTTTTTTTGTCTACTTCTGGTCACGCTCCCCAGCCAAAACTGCACATGTCACACATTGTCTGACACTATTATTTCTTATACTTTGCGTGTCGCTACTGTTTAAATGTAAAATGACGCATTTTCTTCCAACCGGAAATGACGTATGACGTTAACCATTCATTACGTATTTCGAATTACTGCTCTAATTCTGCATCTATTTTGACCGTAACTTTTGTTTTGTTCATTACTTTAAACCAATGACTAAAAGATAGCACTTTATAAAATTTCAGATTTTGACTTTTGTCGCTGACGTTTTTTGTTTTAATTTTAGCGTTATTTTCAACTTCTACAATTTTATTTCAATCGGTCTAAAAATTTAATAGTAGATAAGCATTTTGATTCCTGACAAAAATCTATTTTCAAAATTTTGATATCACTTCCTGTTTTGACTTCATTCGCCTCTAAACTTGAAATTTCAACTTCCGGAATTTTGTAGGTATTTGAAAAATTCTTTTTGAAATTAGTTAAAATTGTCCCTATAACAATTTTGGAATGAAAAAATTTGAACCGGAAGTAACGTGTTAGACGCCATCTTGATGTGACCAATTTTTGTAAAAATCGATATTATGCTTCAGGGGTAAATCTGATTTGTGTGATTTTGGTTCTAAAGAATCTGCAATCGATTGCTAACAAAACATAGGAAGCCGATTTTTGAATTTTGGATTCGTATTTTTTTTATGTTTTCAGTAATTGTCAAAAATATTAAGGCTCATATCTAGTGACTTTGACCTTTGGTGACCTTGTGACCTGAACAAAAGTTGTTGCCCCGTACGAGATATATCCGATGATATCCTCACTTTTGTTGTGCATCGTTAACTTCCGGTTCTAAAGCCATTGGAAAATCACGATTTTTAACTTTGAAGAGCTCTGTCACGTGACCTAATTAACATACGACAAAAATTCTTCTATATTCTTTGTGTGATACATCACACTTGATATTTTGATCAAAATTGCGCGTTTTAAAAATTGACTTCTATAGTAACTGTGCGTAAAATCACGGTGTCTATAATTTACCAACAGTCACCGTTGCCCTAAAAAAAGTTTAACTACGAATATCTCATGATCTAATGATTGTAAAGACTTGAAATTTTGAACATTATTTAACACAGACAAATTAAAATTTTTGAAGTGGGCGTGGCACATCCGGTGGGCATTTACCTTTACCTGAAATATTTGCAATTGTCATAACTCGCAAAGTTTGCAATTGTCATCCTAGAAATTTTGCATGAAAGTAGATCACAGCTTAGGACAATTTGTGATAAGATTACAGTTGTTTGCGTTTAATAAAGGGAACAGGTGTAACAATTTTAAAAATTTTCATTTTTGAACTTTAACGTAAATGACCTTGACCTTTGCATGGTCAAAGGTCATTGATCTAAGATGACCATTCTTACTTTGATTTTTGATGTGCAACATATACTTCCGGTTTTACACACGCCCGAAAACAGCAATTTACGAAACTTCAAAGGCTCATATTACTTTTATTTAACCTTTGTTGACCTTTTGACCTGAACGAAGGATGTTGCCCCTTAGGAGATATATCCGATAAGGTCTATCACGTGACCTAATTTACATAAGCGAAAATTTATCTTTTGTCCTTATTACACGCAATCTATTCTTTCAATGATATATAACACTTGGTATTTTGATTAAAATTGAATTTGAAAATTTTGTATTGACTTCTATAGTAACTTTGCGTAATTTTAACGGTTTCTATAATCCACCGACAGTCACCGTTGCCTTAAAAAAACTTTTAACTACGAATATCTAATGATCTAATGATTGTAAACACTTGAAATTTTGAACATTATTTGACATTGTACACATTATTACAGACAACACAAAAATTTTGCAGTGGGCGTAGCAAATCTGGGTTACTTTTACCTTTACCATAAATAATTCAAATTGTTATAACTCGAAAAGTTTGCATTTTTCACCATCGAAATTTTACAAAAAATTAAAGCACTATTTGGGACAATATCTGATAGAGTTACATTTTGTTTAGGCCTTTTACTTTAAAAAAGGGAATAGGATTTACAATTTATAAAATTTTGATATTTTGACCATTTACATGCATAATCTTGGTCTTTAGAAGGTCAAAGGTTATTGATCTACGATGTCCATTCATACTTTTATCTTTGATGTCCGACATATATTTTCGCTTTTACAAACGTCCGAAAACAGCAATTTTCAACACTTTTAAGGCTTATATTCTCTTTTATTTGACCTCTGTTGACCTCTTGGCCGAAACACAAATTATTGTACCTTTCCAAAAATATTTTCATTTTTGTTGTGCGAAATGAACTTTTAACTTTACAGCTATTTGAAAATTCGACTTTTTACTACCGAATGTTAACACCTTTTAGTACCGAATGGTAATACTTGCGTCTTTTCACTACCGAACGGTAAACGGTTTAAACGATTTTTTCTACTATTGAACGTTTAGATGCTTTTCTTTCCGGTAAGAAATCCCATTGTGACTTTAAAATGCAACGTTTTATCGATGTATCAGGTTGGATGCGCACTGCTTCGGTACCGTTATAACGGTTCTAGTTATTATTATATCTGTACCAGTGATTACAAGGTTATTACAGAATTCTAGCAGCTATTTTACAGGGCGCAAGTTTATTGGACATTGTTTTGTGAAAGCAGTAAAAGGTCTTTCATGTTCATAACTGTGTATAGAAACCAAGAAACTGCATCAAACAGTGTAAAAAACAAATTGTGCATCTCAAGCTATCAAATCAATCCCCATCAATTAAAAGTCAAAAAGAGTGATTATTCAAGTTTTTTTCTCTCATCGTCATAATTTAATTTCTGTGCCTGGATAATCCACACAAAAAAACTCTCACAAAGTGGTTTTAATTTTGGTCAGCGTAATAGTTTTATTTGCAATTTTTCAATACAAAAGACACTTATGCATGTATTATAGCACAACTAATTAGTGATTTGTCTTGGTACCAATGTCACCTAAGCAACTATGTTTATTATGTGACTATGACTATTGATGGCTTCTGTATTAATTCTGCTATTAGTTAGCCTTTGTGTTAACATTTGAAAGACACTTACCAAAAACATTGTTGTTTATTACAGGTGTGTCTGGGCATTTAGAAGAAAAATTAGGTCGAAGAAAAACTCATGTTGGAACTCCGTATTGGATGGCACCAGAGGTAAATCAATTTCTCATGGACTTTGTGTCTTTGTTACTTCCTTGTTTATATTATCCCTTCCTGTACAATTGTTGGTCTAAGCTCACCAAGGATCCAGTCTATTGGATTAACCAATATCTGATTATAAGTAATATATTCTATATTTGAAGGTCATAGCATGTGAAAACCAATTGGAATATAATTATGATGTGAGGTGTGATATTTGGTCACTAGGTATCACTGCTATAGAATTAGCAGACGGTCACCCACCCTTGTCAGATTTCGATCCTAGAAGAGCTCTATTCAAAATCCCAAGGTAAGAGTTTCATAGTGTTATACGTACCAATTTTTATCTTATATCTTATCTTTTTTCTAAAAACCTCTATGTACTTAATTCACATTTCCAAGAACCTCTATGATCTCACATATTGAAATACTACACATCTACTTCAATAGACTGATTTTCATAAAGTTTATTATGTTGATATTTGATAAAAATTGAAGTTGTACAGATGGAATTTTGACCACCTTGATTTCGAACAGTGAAAATAGCTCTTTTGTATCAATATCCCTGTCATTCTGAATATAGTGTAAATGAATGATATTTAATAATTTTATCAATTCCATGATTTATAAGTTTTAAAATCACTATATTGTAATGCAAAATTAGTAGCAAATCATAACATCTAGGATTCTTATTACCTTTCCCACTTTAATATAACTGTGTGTGCTATCAAACAATACCTATGTTCTGCACATTACACAGGATTGCTGTCTTCATTAGCTCAATAAGAAGCAGAAAAGTAGAAAATACAATTTCATTTTATTGTATTTCCTGTGGAATAATCCATGTTGAATCTGTATAGTAAGTAAGCTAATTACAAGGTTTTCAAGGTTAAATACCTTCTAGAATATTATAATTGGAAACAAATGATTTCTTCTAGTACAAGATGAGTAGTAGAATCAATAGAGCTGTAGGGTGTGGTTGATAACTGGGTGGAAACATGTCACTCAGAAAAAAAATATAACAAATAATGACTTAATATTGTCTTGTCTTATACCACCACACCTTTAATTCTCTTCTGGTTTTATTCAATTATTACTTAACTCATATATAATGTAGGAGTTATGGATGTCCCAAGTTCAATCCCAGCATAGGTCAAGATAATACCTGTCAAAGGGGCTAACATGGTAGAAAGATGTATTCCTTTGTATGGAACAATAAATCGAAGCCCCTTATGCTACAGGTTGTGCAGGTGGCTTAAATCAATCAGCGATTGTAAATCATCTGATTGTACAATCTCTAAAATCAATTTTATATTTAGATTTTTAAACCTTTCATCTTTTATCTTCAGTTCATCTAAGTTTTATTTTTTAAAAAATTGGCCATTGATAAGAAGAGCTGTTAACATTTCAAGTATTTGAGAACCTATGTAACTGCTTTGATATCATTGTACTGTCATTTAGTTTTGAAAAATATCTGATTTTCCATTTGAACACAATTGATGAAACACAATCACATAGTAACATAAGGTGTTGTAAAAAATATTTGATTTCTGGCTTTTGATTTTAACCTATTTTTAAAATAACGAGAAAGTAAATTTATTATGTATTGACCCCCAATATAAAAATGACATTGAAAGCTTTACATGAACAATAACTCAATCAAAGAGTAGCATCAGGTGTAGCATAAGATTTTTGAATTCATGCTTGGTATATAATCAATTTGACAAAATACAAAAATGGTACCATAGTTATTTTATTGTTTTGATCATTGACCTCATTTGAAAACCTAAATACTGCGATGTAAAAAGAGAAATATGTATATATTAAGTAAGTACTAATGAGTTAATAATGAGAGAAAGTGTGATATATTTTATTGACACTCTATCTACCAATCTATAGTTTTTACCTTGATTTCTCTCTACTTCCCCTTATTGATCAATAATATCATTAAAAACTGATTAATTATCTCTTGTTCCACTAACACTGCAACTTCTAAATAGTTCAGAATTCTTAGTTCATTACCATTTATTTTATGTGATATTTAGATTTTCTGAAACACAATGTGCAGTTAAATTTGTGGAGCAAATAACAGAAATTGTTCATGATTATTACTTTCTCTGTGTTATCTAGATTTTCATAAAAACTATGTGCAGCTAGATTTAAGGAACAATAGTTATTAATTAAAGCTTATCATTTGTTATCGTTTTATTGGATATTTTCTGAAAAGTAGAAAATTTAAAAAATGATATTTGCAGTGGACACAACTTCCTAATATTTCCTAATACATCCATGATTTCTGGATGATTATCATGTTCTATGTCTAATTGAAGATTTTCTAAAATATGAAAATTTTGATTAATGAACATTATCAAAGTGCTCAATAGTTTCTATATAGACTATAATATATATATATTGTAATATACAGTATTAGAGAATTTCATCTCTAGAAAATAGAAAATCAGGAAAAACACACTTGGTTCCTGATTCTGTGTAGTATCAAAGATTTAATAGATGATGGAGGTTATGGTTAATTTCTAAAACAAACACAGTGAGTTATAATATACATGCACAATATTGCTCAATACATGGATAGATTGATACATCACTGGTAACAATTGATACAGACTTTTGTCTTACTTTTCTTGGAAATTTTGCAAGACAGTGGTCTTGGCCTACTCTTATTAGGAGCTAGCGTTCAACAGTTGTTGGGTTTGACTATGATATTCTCTTGAAGAAATTACAATATTTGTTAAATATTTCTTACTTTAAACATCAACATCTGTTATAAATGTTTCATCTCTGAAAGGTATATTATATTAATACTTTCACTTTCTGATAATTTTGCTAATGGCCTGCAAGCTAGACTATTAAAAGTTAATAGGATGAATGAATATAATCATGTAAATGTTACAGTTAATAGAACATTCTAGTAATTGATTGGTTATGTCAGGTTTTTCTCTTCTGTTACATCTTTTAGTAAGAAAATTAAAAGGTCACCTCAAGAACAACACTGTTTATATTTTAAAGAAATTTATAGCATTTTGTCACATGTTGCCTATGTAAGTGAATTCCCCTCAGATGTCTTTCTTTCACAGCCCAAGTTTGAATTTGATGAAAATGGCCTAAATCAAGCATGTTGTGAACTATTTTGTGATTTGGTAAATTTTTCGATGGTAGATGGCCTTTTTTTAGTCTGATATGAAATATTGATACAATTGTAGTATTTATTGATTTAATATACAAATAATTTGTACATTCTGGAGTTATTTTGTTTAAAAAAAAACATTTTCAAGTTACTACACTATATAAAAACCAATGGCTGCCATGTCACAGACTGCTGGAGACAATATTTCTAATCATTTGATGCCAGACTATCATCATTTCCAGGAATCACAATCACTTACATGCTGCATAGTGTAATATCCTCAGGTGAAAATGCTAATATGTACCTGAAACTATTAAGATTGTACTGTTTTGTACAACATGTAATACATAGATCAAGAAATTCTTTAAGACAGATTTTTTTATTCATTTTTGGTGATAGCTTTGTATTGCTCAGCTATGTCTGGTTGTGCCAGAAAAGAACTGTAGGATTGAAAACTTGAGGAAAGGTTGTAAATATTTCATTATAAAAGTGTTTCTACACATTATTCTTGATTGGATTATTGATTGGCAGGCATATTTATTTTCAACTCCAGTTTATTTAAACTATGGTGTTATAAACAATTGTTGTTGCTTAATTGTGTTAGGTTTAGGATAAAATGATTATTAAGTGTTTGAGATGCCAATACCTTGATTTTTAAATGGTTTGACGGTTCTTCAATATGACAATATGTAGGTTAATGTTTTTGTACAGCTGATCTCACCCAATGACTTGAAATAGGTTCAAATTCTCCAAATACGACTGTACGATTGGATTTTCTCTCAAATAGATAAGTATGATAAAGATTATGTATTTTTGTTTAATTATGTATTTGAGTAAAACATAGTTCATGATGTGATTGTATGTTAATCCCTTATGACATACTAATAATGCATATTATTGTATTGGTCATTCACCAAGACCTTCAAGATGTCTATCTGTCTGCTGCTGGTAATTGGGAACATTATATCCCTCAACATGTGTAATCATAGCATAAAAAACTTTTGCTAAATATGGATAAGACCGTGGTAGATATGTTATATATGAGACTTTGATGGTTTGTGACTCTGTGGTTTCAGAATCGTTGTAATTTTAACTCAAAGTTGGCATCTTATATTATCTTTGGGTTGCTGATATATCCAACATATTATTACCTTGAAATATGATTTTAAAGAAGGGAAGTTTGTGGTCCAAAATATGGTTCATTTTAATGTGTCACTTCTGGTTGGGAAATGTGATCAATTTAGAAAGTGGTCAGACATTATGGTATTAATTTAAGTCTAAATTTGCCATTACAATGTTGTAGCTAGGTCAAACTTGTCCTGAACATCTGATGCCATATTGTAATCAACTCTAGGTGTTATTGACAACTTTCTGTTTGGTTAAGCTTTAAGTTAGATAATTCATTCATTTATATTTATTGATTTTTGGATTCTTCAATTAATAAAGTAGATGTAAACAAAAATAAAGTTCAGTTTACATGATTAATAAAGCTTTAACATACATGTTATGTAATCACACTCTTTTTTCATCATATTGACAATACTTAAAGACTTGTTGGCAGTTTCTCTTTGTCTGTATTTGCCGTGCTAACACTGACAAATGTAGGGCAATAGGGTAAAATTATTAAAATAAATGAACATCACAGCACAGATCATCATGACAATTGTGATTTCTTTTTCACAGCCAAGTATTTTTGTGACTGCAGTAATTTGCTTGTTGATTTTTATTGGTTGATTTTTCAAGCAATATCTGTAGCTCAGTTGGGTAGAGTGTTAGAATTTGTAATCTTGAAACTCTTAAAAAATAATGTGTCACATAATAAAGTCATCTTTCATCATTATTACAAGCAACAGTCAGAGGTTTGACCAAGCAAAAGGAGATAGAGAAGATACTCTGGAAGATTAGTTGTAAAATATGGTTCTTGCTTGTACTTGCTCTTGCTTGGTATATCATTGATTCAGACTGTTTAATATTGTAAAATATAAGTTTGTATATAACATTATTTATTCATTCATCACTTTAAATCACTTGCGCTGTGGTAAAATCAGCTAAAAGGTTTCCAATCAATAATTGTAATTGATAAGAATCGTAATGACATTTGTTTTGTAAACAATACACATGTATCAACCGTAATGTTTGTTATTTTATTATTGATCTGCTAATTACATTTATGACATTGGTAATTATCAGTTAAAGGTTCAGTCCCAGATATTTTTATTTCACATGATAGAATTGATCAATTTTGGCTTAATTGTATTTAATATATGTTGCAATAGCCACAAAGAAATTTGATATAAAGCTGAGAAGCATATTAGATATCATTAGAAATTCTATTCAAATAAAGTGTACAAAATTTACTACAGATAATATAAGTATATTTGTTCACTTCCCCCTCTGATTTATAAATATAAACATGTGTAATCTAATTTGATTTTCAGCAGAATGAATAGTAAAAGCAACTATACAGACAGACTAGACTTTTATTTTATTGATTACTGCTTAAATTAATGACAAATTTGTGGACTAGTTGTGTTTATAATTTGAATGATCTTCAGATTTGGAAAAAAATATCTATACTCTACTTTATACATTGCTAATGGGTTCAATATTCGGCATTTTTTATGGAAATGTTTGAATTATTTTAAGTATAGTCAAAGTTTTGCTATTGAAAATGAGAGAGAACTAAGTGTTATAGTGATTGATTTTTTTAAAAAGTTTACAAAACCAGAATTACTTTAATAGAAACACCATTTGCAAAAATTGATCTGTGCACCAAATGGAGACATTTTTGAACAATATTTGTTAATGATCTTGTTTTACAGAAACCCTCCACCAACAGTTAAAACTCCGACAGAATGGTCTGAAAACTTTTTAGATTTTATAAAAAAGTAAGTGTCCTTGTCAGTTATCAAAAATGTTACAGTTGAGGCATAAGCAGTTAATCCAATGGTACACAGCACTAGATCTTATATTTATCTAGATTTTGTTCTTTAAGAGACAGGTTTGTCATCCATTTGACCAGTCATATCATAGTCTCAGAAGTAGAATTTTTTTTATCTAAGTTAATCAGACGAAATTTAACCTTCAAATCCATGTGCGTCCAGAATTACCTGCGTTTTAAAGTTAAAATGATGATTTGTCTTTTCTTGAGACTCTGACATGTATGGTAAAGACATATATAGAAATAGACAGTGAATACCTAGTTTGAGGTATTTTTGAAGGAATTTTGTTAATTATATGCAATTCAAGTATTTCTGAAGAATATTATAGTTGACAACCTCTGAAAATATTCAACCTGTCCCTTAAAAAGGTTGTTTATCTTTCAAATTGTGTAGTGGGACTTTACACACAGTAGATTTGATACATATTTCATTTCACACCATTAAATGAGAAACTGAAATGTGTACTGTATGTTTTAATTGTAAATAGATGTTTGATTAAAGACTTTGAAAAGAGACCATTTACAGAAGAGTTGTTACAGCATAGATTTATAACCCAGCTTATTGATGAAGATATTCCTTCTGTAAGATATTGTTATTATTTCCATCATTCACATTTTTAAAAAAAGAAAGCTTCATGGCTCTTGGTACTTTGGATTGTATTTTAAAAGTATCTTCCATGTTAGATATATCTATGTCATTCTCTATCACAGATGGAAAATATAATCTGTAACTTAACCACCTGACTTCAGCTAGCCTATAATTTCAGATTAAAGAAAAATTGAAAACATTTACCTCAAAAATGGAGAGGACAGTTACAGCACCTGATGTCACTACTAAACATGGTCAATTTAAATCAGGTTGTAAAGCACAGAAAGAGGTCAAGATATCCTCAGACTTGGCTAAATTAGAAAACTTGGATGAGGTTAGAGATGATTATTTGATTTGTATTAAACAATTTTTTGAGCAAGAGCTGGGTATTTTTAAAAGATTCTCTGATTTTTGCTTAAAAAATAATACCTATTACCAGCATAAAACAATTTTTTCCCAGTGAAACATGATCTGATGCAGTGATTTAGGAAACTATTGTATTTCAACTATTAACAAGACATACACAAGATCAAGTTTATATTTATATTGGTGATATTTAATTATAGGAAACTACTGTATCTCAACTATTAACAAGATATATACAAGATCAAGTTTATATTTATATTGGTGATATTTTATCATAGGAAATTATTGTATCTCAACTATTAGCAAGATATATACAAGATCAAGTTTATATTTATATTGGTGATATTTTATTATAGGAAACTATTGTATCTCAACTATTAACAAGATATATACAAGATCAAGTTTATATTTATATTGGTGATATTTTATTATAGGAAACTATTGTATCTCAACTATTAACAAGATATATACAAGATCAAGTTTATATTTATATTGGTGATATTTTATTATAGGAAACTGTTGTATCTCAACTATTAACAAGATATTTACAAGATCAAGTTTATATTTATATTGGTGATATTTTATTATAGGAAACTATTGTATCTCAACTATTAACAAGATATATACAATATCAAGTTTATATTTATATTGGTGATATTTTATTATAGGAAACTATTGTATCTCAACTATTAACAAGATATTTACAAGATCAAGTTTATATTTATATTGGTGATATTTTATTATAGGAAACTATTGTATCTCAACTATTAACAAGATATATACAAGATCAAGTTTATATTTATATTGGTGATATTTTATTTTAGGAAACTATTGTATCTCAACTATTAACAAGATATATACAAGATCAAGTTTATATTTATATTGGTGATATTTTATTATAGGAAACTATTGTATCTCAACTATTAACAAGATATATACAAGATCAAGTTTATATTTATATTGGGGATATTTTATTATAGGAAACTATTGTATCTCAACTATTAGCAAGCTATATACAAGATCAAGTTTATATTTATATTGGTGATATTTTATTATAGGAAACTATTGTATCTCAACTATTAACAAGATATATACAAGATCAAGTTTATATTTATATTGGTGATATTTTATTATAGGAAACTATTGTATCTCAACTATAAACAAGATATATACAAGATCAAGTTTATATTTATATTGGTGATATTTTATTATAGGAAACTATTGTATCTCAACTATTAACAAGATATATACAAGATCAAGTTTATATTCATCTTGGTGATATTTTATTATAGGAAACTGTTGTATCTCAACTATAAACAAGATATATACAAGATCAAGTTTATACTTATATTGGTGATATTTTGTTATAGGAAACTATTGTATCTCAACTATTAACAAGATATATACAAGATCAAGTTTATATTTATATTGGTGATATTTTATTATAGGAAACTATTGTATCTCAACTATTAACAAGATATATCCAAGATCAAGTTTATACTTATATTGGTGATATTTTGTTAGCCTTAAATCCTTTTACACCTATACCAATTTATACAGAAGAGGTTAGTAATTTTTGATATAGTTGATAAAAACCTTTTTAGTATTTTTTAATCTACTATGAAATAGTATGTTTTTAAAAGTGCATTTCCAAAAAATATTATTCATTATGCTGTTCTAGGCATGTACTCAGACCTTACGAGAAATATTTTTTGAAACATAATATTTAGAAATAAGATTATTGATTGCAGTTTTTAGAGCTACACTTTTTCTATTCGTAGCAATTGATACACCAAACAATAGTTACTGAATATCATTGTCTAAATAAAACTAAGGATGGGTTTTATCATGCTTCATTATAGGATTGTAGTAGTTCAATTTTTTTTTTTTTTAAACTTGCTTCGATGTTACCATAGGTACTGATTAAACTGTATATTTTTTAGTATTCTAAAATGTATATGAATGCCAGTAAAGATGATAACCCACCTCATATATTTGCTGTGGCAGATGAATCATATCAATTAATGATGCATAATAAAAATAATCAGGTATGGCTTTTGTATCTTTAGCTCATTCTTTTAAGTTAGTTATATGCAACTATTTTTTGTGACATACTGCTTTTGTGTGTTCTGTAAAAGGTAAACAAATGTGAAGAATTGAAACAAGCTACAAATCTCATCTTTCTGAAATTACAAAACACATTAGGCACTGTGCTCATTTGCTAAATATGTGATAAAGTGGCATTTTCTAGAAATTTCATCAGTAATTATTCAACTTGAGTGTATTTATGACTAAAAAATGGCAGTTGCTGTCTGTTGCACTGCCAAAAACAAGATATTTGGTTGACCTGAACAGTCAGTATCTGCAACTATCTACTGTACTTGATAGCAGTTGTATGTCTAGCCATTTAATTCTTGACGTAAGCTTTGCTCATGTAGTTTTTGAAGTATAAAATGTAATTCTTTGATTCATTAGTAGACTAAGATCATATCTATGCTGACCAGTTATATCACTATTTCAATACGTTTTTCAGTGTATAGTTATCAGTGGTGAATCAGGGGCTGGTAAAACAGAAAGTGCTAATTTATTGGTTCAACAACTGACGCAGTTGGGAAAAGTAAGGAATACAAATTTATTTGTTCATTTATTTACCTCTCTCATTCTTTGTTTTGTGAATATCATGGGGTCTTCCAATCAATCATTTATTGATTTCATGTAAGTACATAACAGTAAAGATCAGATACTGCAATGAGTGATGAATAAGATTATTGTGAATGGCGAATTAATTGCAAAATTATTATTGATTAGAAATGATTATTGCCTTGATCATTTTTGATCATCATCATTGTCATTATTATCATTATTATCAATGGGGGAGGGAGTGGTTAATGGTCACAATGTTGTGGATTCCATATACAATAAACAAAGTTTTCAAGAAATCTTTTAATGAAAAGAATGTTATTGAATTATTGTAGGCACCTAATAGAACATTAGAAGAGAGAATATTACAAGTCAATCCTCTTATGGAAGCATTTGGTAATGCTAAAACAGTTATTAATGACAATTCCAGTCGATTTGGGAAATATCTAGAAATGTTTTTTACTCCTACGGGAACTATAATAGGAGGTATTTAATTTTTCATTTTAATTTTGTTAAGTGATGGCATTCTTACCTATTCGAACCACCTGATGCCATTGGGTTGGTCAACTCAGCTTGTCTTTCAAAGAGTAATCATAGCTAATAGCAAATAGAACTATTAAAAAGAACTTAAGTGATAAACATCATTCATTTTTCAACCTATTTTAATGGAAGTTTGTAAAAGTTGTTTGTTCTCCAAACACATGCTGAAGTTGGTGAATTTGAACATGATCCTCTATCTTGAATTACAGCTAAAATAACAGAATATTTATTAGAGAAATCAAGAGTCATATATCAAGCCAAGTAAGATTTTATTTCTGTATTTTCATACACGGGCTTGACATTTTATAAAACTTTGAGCTATTTGGACTAATTTTGTTAAAACAAACTTTATTATTCAGCACAAGACTATTCTGAAACCAAAAAAACTAAATTTGTTTTCATATTTTAAGGCAAGACTGTAATTTGACAGTACTTCATATTTATCAATTAAAAATGAAATTATTTTATGACAATCTCTTTTAATGGCTTTTTTTTTGTTCTGTAGAGGAGAGGAGAATTTTCATATATTTTATTATATACATGATGGTTTAGTATCAGGAGATGACAGTGATTCTTATTTTCTTGGTGATTCCAAACATTATAGGTATTTTTTACATTTTCCCTCAGCACTTTTTTTGTTTAGTTTTTTGTTACTATTACTGATTTGAATAGTCATTAAAGTAAATTCAATACAAGCTTTACAATCAAAATAGAAATTGAGACATTACAAGATATTACATATTTCCCTATAGTATCAAGAGATATGTTTGGTTAAAGAAACACGTAGATATATTATTGTGGATCCAGTTGTACCTGTATATACCTGTACCTGTACCTGCAATAATTTTGTACAGGCTTTTACATTATCATAAAAGTGACTTAGTAAGCAAACTGATGATTTATTTTGTAGATATATCAATGAACATACCAATAAACCACCAGATATCTCATCTCTTTCTGGTAATAGAGTCAAATTTAAAGCTATACAGCACTGTTTTAAAATTATTGGTTTTCAACCAGAGGTAGGATATATTGTTATTCTTTTTTAAATCTAATTCACTAATGAACATTGTTTTGTTTTTAAACACCTATATTATAAGGTGGACTGTTGTCACCCCTGTCTATCTGTCTTCACATTTATCCAGCTGGTCACATTTGCTTGTAAACACTATAGAGACTACATATTTGATTTTGGATATTGGATTTTGATGAAATTAGGTATGCTTAAGTATGTTGAGGAAATCTAGGTAGAATGAGTGAGGTTTTGATTGCATTTTGATCAATAGTTTTTGAGTAATTGGTGTAAGTGTAATGATATAGTAATTGTATATTATGATGTGTAGGAAGTAAAAGATGTATTCAGTATATTAGCTGCTATATTACATATTAGTAATATCATATTTACTAGTAAAGTGTAATGATATAGTATTTGTATATTATGATGTGTAGGAAGTAAAAGATGTATTCAGTATATTAGCTGCTATATTACATATTAGTAATATCATATTTACTAGTAAAGTGTAATGATATAGTATTTGTATATTATGATGTGTAGGAAGTAAAAGATGTATTCAGTATATTAGCTGCTATATTACATATTAGTAATATCATATTTACTAGTAAAGTGTAATGATATAGTAATTGTATATTATGATGTGTAGGAAGTAAAAGATGTATACAGTATATTAGCTGCTATATTACACATTGGTAATATAGTTTTCACTGGCAAAGAGTTAAATGGTGAAGATAAGTGTATTATAGATGATGACAAATTAATATTTACAGGTGAGAATTACAGACGTCTTAGTTTTGATATTGAATTTGTATTCTACTATATTTTCATACAATCTCTGAAAACTTGAAATTATTAAGTAATGCAAATGATAGAGCCATTAAAGGTGGAAGTGTTATGCTGTCATTAAGTTCATTAAATTTTAATTGGAATGCATTTGACTAAAATGTGATTGTCTTTTTCAGTATCTAGATTATTGGGTATAGATAAAGGTGAATTAACAGAAACACTTACTACAACTGGTATGGTAGCTAAAGGAGAGATTATAATACGTAATAACACTGTACAGGAGGCTATCAATACTAGAGATGCTATGGCAAAGGCTTTATATGGTCGACTTTTTAGTTGGATTGTCAATCGTATTAGTTCCTTGTTAAAACCTGGCAAATCATTATCAGAAGAGTAAGTATCTAGGATTTTTGAACAAATTTAAACCAAAAACATGATAACTTACTGAATGATGTACTTATCAGAAAAAATAATCTCAAAGTGATATTTGTTCCAAAAGGGTAAGCATGTCTTGTCCTGCTTGCAACACCTGTTCATTAAGTAAGGGACCTTAAATGCAAAACAATGTTTGGACATGGGCTCTAGATCTAGAGCTTAAAACTGATAAATGGTTTGTTCACTGGCCAATCTCATTGTCCAATGTTGAAAAGGTTTTCATTTTAATGTATATGTGGATAAAATAGTAATTGTAGTTCAGAATTAAGTTACACTGAATTTGAAAATTTCTTAATATCATTTCAGAAATGACGGGCCAGTCATAGGATTATTAGATATTTTTGGTTTTGAAAACTTTGAGAAGAATTCATTTGAACAAGTGTGTATTAATATAGCAAATGAACAAATTCAGTATTATTTTAATCAGCATATTTTTGCCTGGGAAATGGTGAGTGACTTCTGATTCATATATTTTTACAATTTCTTTACACACATGAAGGTTTTTTTTACATAGACCGTGTACTGAAGATGTATATTTTAGTGACCCCCATCATTCAATACCTGACCTAAAAATATATGTGACATTATTACACATTAATAGGGAAATGATATATACAATACTACTGACAACAATTTTTATTATTGAGTAGATATCTCAATATTCATCACAAGTGTTGGTTAAGCTAACATTGCTGATTGGTTGAATTGCTGAACACATTTTTCTTTTAAATGGCAATAGATCTAAAAAAAATGAAATGATCCAAAGATTAAATTCAATTAAGTTGTACTCTAATGCATTTGAACACCTGGTCCTCAGAGACCCATGATGTATTAATTGATGTCACCAAGGTTTGTTAAAATTATTTTCCAGCAAGAGTATAGTAATGAAGGAATAGATGGAAGTGATATTAATTATGTTGATAATAGAGATATATTAGACATGTTTCTAATGAAGCCACTTGGTTTACTGGCTTTACTAGATGAAGAGAGTCATTTTCCTAAAGCTACAGATCAGACATTAGTTGGTAAGTTGACAAGAAATTGAATTGATACAAAGTGTCAGGCATCAATTAAGTTACTAACGTATCAGAAAGGAGTTCATGATATCATTCATTAAATCTAATACTTAAATCAAAATAATTCACTATAAAAAATTAATATCATTATATATCAGAAAAAAACCCACATTTGTTTATGATTTGTTTTTTTATTGATACCCCTTTAATTGAACAATTAGGAAATATGATTTATACACAGTCACCAGAATTTTGTCATCAGATATAGTAGAGTTGTATAGATATAGATCCAATTAATTCATCCTGTTTAAATCAATTTTTCAGATAAATTTCATCATAATATTAAATCAAGTGTATACAGCAGACCAAAAGCTGATAACTTGACATTCTGTATTGAACACTATGCTGGCAGGGTGGAATATGATGCTACAGGTTTTCTGGAGAAGAATCGTGACCGTCTGTCAGTTGAAGTTGTTAATATATTACGTACAGCAGATAATAGTGTAGTAAAACCTTTATTTCTTACACCTCTTTCTAAAACAGGTAATAAAAGTTTGATATTTGATTAGACATTGAATTAATCAGTCCAACCAATCATTTTTTAACAATGTTTTTAGAAATAAGTCTTCTTTCAAACTTATATCAAATTTGAATTCAATAAACAATTACTTCATGCAATAGTTAAAACATTATATAGTGAAATAATTATCTAAATTTTAGACATACTGACCTGAACTTTAGAACTTCTTGTAGGTGTGATTCTCTTAATGCATTATTTTTATGCAAATGATTTTTTTCATTCTTGAGTCTTATACTCTTAGAGCAATTATCTTTGTAAGAATTGTTCCATATATTTACAAAATGATTATCTGTTGATAGGTAACCTACAATATGGTAGTTTAGCATCTAGTCAATCCAGTTCCATATCAAGTACACTACCTTCACCTGTTGGAAATGGTGGTATTATGGTACAGAGTTTTAATTCTAGAAACACTACTAGTCTTGGTGGCAGTCGGGTATGTGCTTTATTCAGTTTAGTTGTAGGCTATCCTATTGATACCATTTGCATGGGTATCTGATTGTCATCTGCATGGATTCTTTCTTTTATTCCCAATTTTTGTTTCTATTGGTTTGTCCACATTTTCAGTCCATGCACAATTAATTTATACTCCATCCGGAACTGATATTTTGTTTGTACTGATGCAAGGAGTATTGGTTTCACAATTTCTGCAAGGTACTTGTGAATCATGTTGAATCTAATTTTTGATGTAAATAAACGATAGTTATGCTTGGCTGCTAGTAAATATTGTGTGATCTGATACTAGATATGTCAATTCATGCAAAATGCTAATAATTTTTGTGATACCAAATCAGAAATCAGCATGGTTATGATGACAATTATTTTGTTTTCAGATATACTCTGCTATTGTAAGTAACTGTTGAAATAGATGTGGTTTTGTTTTGGCCTCATTTCATTTTTTGCCTTTTTAGATTTTAGTTTAATCTTTTTTGTTTCATTCCATATTTCAAAACCCAATTTGTTTAGTTCTTTTTAGTTTGTATCATTTTTTGCTGATGTAGAGGCTTTTGTTTTAAAAAAAGTTTTGTAGAGAAATGATGGTCTTCACGATACAGAAAAATTGCCAAAACTTTATTGTGCTTGGTGTGCATCAATTTGTTTTGGTTGCATGTAAAAATGAGTATAATTTTGATTGCATATTTTTGATCTAATTTCAGCATGCAACTGGATCAGCTAGTATGACAAGAATCCAACAAACTGTAGCCACATATTTCAGATATTCTCTGATGGATTTACTGGCAAAAATGGTCACTGGTTCACCTCATTTTGTCAGGTTTTTAGAATTATATAACATTCAATATGTGCTTTCCTTCTTATAAAATCTTATTCATTAGCCATTTTATAAATAACAGAAAGAGTTTATTATATATGTTTAATGAGGAAGAAATATGTAATGAACATAATAGTATTATCAGTTAAAACATCCCCACTATGAAATCTTATTGATAAACAATGATTAAAGTCATCCTGAAATTAAATTGTAGATGTTTAAAACCAAATGATGTGAAAGATCCTGGCCATTTTGATTCAACAAAGGTTTTAACCCAGTTACGTTATACAGGTGTATTAGAGACAACTAAAATCAGACGTCAGGGCTATTCACACAGAGTTCTCTTTAATGATTTTATTAAAAGGTCAGTCACTTTCAATGAGAGTACTTGTCTGTTGATTAGTCCTATATAACATAGCTCAGTAGGATGTAGACTGTAGTACTTTTCAAGTTTAAAGAATAAAAGTCTGCTTGTATCCATAATCTGCTTAATTTTTTTTTTCTTTTTTCATTTTTGCTAAAAAATAATTTCATTATCTTGGCCAGATCGATTCTGTTGTTTCTAGTGTGTGTATTTTTCCCTGCATCTTTTGTTTATACTTGTATAACTGTTACAGATATCATATGTTAGGGTTTAATTGGAATGAAGCTCCATCTGGAAATAAAGAATCCTGTAAAATTCTATTAGAAAGGCTTGGTCTGGAAAATTGGGCTTTAGGAAAAACCAAGGTGAGGAAGTAATTTTGTTCATATTCTTTGAATATACCAGCTAGATTTCATGTATACTTATCATAATGTCATGTTATGTATTGTGTATTAATATGGGATTAATATATGACTTCTCGTTGCAGCGTTAAACAAACATTGTATAACATAAATATTGTTTAACTCTCTAAAAATGAAAGTGCAATTTGCCTGCTGAAATGGGGGAAAAACGTAGATTTGATCAGTGGTCAGTTCGGGTATAATATTATCTATAGCTATGCTAATTGAACTGTTTCAGGTGTTTTTAAAATATTACCATTCAGAACAGTTAACTAGATTGTTTGAAGACAGGAACCATAAGATTATCACAATTCAATCCCATGTTAGAACCTTTCTAGCCAGGAATAGATTTTATAAGTTAAGATGGAGTAGAGAAAAAGCTGCCTTACAAATCCAAACATGTAAGTTTACAGTTATTTACTTACAGAGAGAAGCTTGGCATATCTCCTTTGGCTTTGATTAAATATGAATTTAAATATGCACTGAAATCCATTTTTAAGGAGTCTAATAGCCTCTATTTGTATCATTCCTAGGCTTTATTTTAACAAAGTATTGAGACTAGATAAGATATAAGCTTCATAAGGGTTTAAATTAAAAATAAGATTTTATTGTCATATCATGAAGTCTTTGGGATGCTTTGCTTAATTAACTTGCAATGTCTTTTAGGTTTCCGAGGTCACAAGGAAAGAAAGAAATTTCTTAAAGAATCTAATAGGAGGTCAAATGCAGCATTAGATGTGCAAAAAGGTAATGTGTGAGAAATATATATTCTAAATAATGTTAGAAACAAGTTATATGTGTAGAAGTAGAAGTTTAATGACACAACTGACCCTAGACCCTTGATGACTCATAAATGTATATTTGATATTGTAAGATATTGTAGCAAAAGAATGTCATTGACTTATTATAGCTTTATAATTACCATGAAATTAATTCAATTTCTTACTTTTCAGTTTTCCGAGGGTATTTAGTTCGTAAAGATACTAAGCCACAAATTGCTCAAAGACGCAAAGCTTCCATAGCAATCCAATCAGCATTCAGAGGTCACATGACCCGTAAACAAGCCAGAAAATCTAGAATGAATGAAGATGATAGTGCTAGAAAGATTCAGAGAAGTAAGTTTATGAGAGTTTTATGTGACAGTTTAATACTGTGATTTGCATTTTATAAATGATTTGACATGATAGTGCTCTTACGATATGGAGAGGTTAGTTTTAAAAGAGGTTTGTAAGCTTCTAATACAAATGACATCCTACATCTCAAAACCACTGTTATCACAGCTTTTCCATCCAGTAAGAACTTCAGTACTGGTAATAATTTGTTTTACTTTTACAAAGTGGCACTGTGCTATTATAGATGCTTGTTTTTATCATTTTAGTGTTCAGATGTCATAGGGCAAGAGTTACAGCTAAACAGCTGCGAAATGAAATACAGAAAAAAGAACATAGAGCAGCTAAATTAATTCAGACTTATTTCCGTATGTGGAGATGTAAAACTATATATCAACAGTTATTGGATTATAAATCTAAAAAGGAAATTGAGCTCATTTATTTTGGACAACAGGTATTTATTGAATAAGGTCCTGCACAAACGAGCATACACATACTGTATTAGCATTATGTGGACTTTCTTGAACAAGTTACATGAGCCTCAATGAAATGAAATGGAACTGTACATTCTCCAGAGTTCGCCAGGCTTTACTAGACCTATGCCAGGAGAAAACGTTTGACGCCTTAACTAGCATCTTGAGTCTAACAGAGAACAGCTCGGCTCATGGTCAATTATATTTGTAGGTTGAAATGTATGGAAAGGAAATTTATGATGAACTGATAGCTAACAAAGATAAATCACCAAATACTACCTCATTGACTGACCTATTGGTCACTAGACCACCTGTAGTGGAGAATTCTAACTCGTCAGTGGTCAGTCCAGTAACTAAAAATGATATTGGTATTCAGAGAATGGAACAAATAGAAAGGATGAATGAAATCAAACAGATTATTCCTACAGCAGAAAATTCCTATTATAATCAGGTAATGCGTACTATGTTTGAAACATTTATTGAATATAGCAATAGTACATTTTAAAATGTCTTATTTGTTTCATGTATTTGACAGGCTAATAGTACAAGCTAATAGTACAAGCTAATAATACTAGCTAATAGTACAAGCTAATAGTACAAGCTAATAATACTAGCTAATAGTACAAGCTAATAGTACTAGCTAATAGTACAAGCTAATAATACTAGCTAATAGTACAAGCTAATAGTACAAGCTAATAGTACAAGCTAATAGTACAAGCTAATAGTACAAGCTAATAGTACAAGCTAATAGTACTAGCTAATAGTATGAGCTAATAATACTAGCTAATAGTACAAGCTAATAGTACAAGCTAATAGTACTAGCTAATAGTACAAGCTAATAGTACTAGCTAATAGTACGAGCTAATAATACTATCTAATAGTACAAGCTAATAGTACAAGCTAATAGTACTAGCTAATAGTACAAGCTAATAGTACTAGCTAATAGTACAAGCTAATATTACAAGCTAATAGAACAAGGTAATAGGGCAAGCTAATAGGACAAGCTAATTGGACAAGCTTATAGTACATGCTAATAGGACAAGCTAAGAGAACAAGCTAGTAGGACAAGCTAATAGAACAAGCTAATAGGACAAGCTAATAATACACACTAATAGGACAAGTTAATAGTACAAGGTAATAGGATAAGCTAATAGTACAAGCTAATAGTACTAGCTAATAGGACCTTGTAAAATGTCTTATTTGTTTCATGCATTTGACAGGCTAATAGTACAAGCTAATAGTACAAGCTAATAATACTAGCTAATAGTACTAGCTAATAGTACAAGCTAGTAGGACAAGCTGATAGGACATGGTTATAGGACAAGCTAATAGGACAAGGCTAATAGTACAAGCTAATAGTACAAGCTAATAATACTAGCTAATAGTACAAGCTAATAATACTAGCTAATAGTACAAGCTAATAGTACAAGCTAATAGTACAAGCTAATAGAACAAGGTAATAGGGCAAGCTAATAGGACAAGCTAATTGGACAAGCTTATAGTACATGCTAATAGGACAAGCTAATAGAACAAGCTAATAGTACAAGGTAATAGAACAAGCTAATGGGACAAGGTAATAGGACAAGCTGATAGGACAAGGTAAAAGGACAAGCTAATAGTACAAACTAATAGGACAAGCTAGTAGGACAAGCTGATAGGACAAGCTAATAGAACAAGCTAATAGTACAAGCTAATAGTACAAGCTAATAGAACAAGGTAATAGGGCAAGCTAATAGGACAAGCTAATAGAACAAGCTAATAGTACAGGCTATTAGGACAAGGTAATACGACAAGCTAATAGTACACGTTGATAGAACCAGCTAATAGTACAAGCTAATAGAACACGGTAATAGGACAAGCTAATAGGACAAGCTAATAGTACTGGCTAAAAGTACAAGCTTATTGTACAAGGTAATAGAACAAGCTAATGGGACAAAATAATAGGACAAGCTGATAGTACAAGGTAATAGGACAAGGTAATAGGACAAGCTAGTAGGACAAGCTGATAGGACAAGCTAATAGGACAAGCTAATAGGACAAGCTAATAGTACACGCTATTAGGACAAGGTAATAGGACAAGCTAATAGGACAAGCTAGTAGGACAAGCTGATAGGACAAGGTAATAGGACAAGCTAATAGAACAAGCTAATAGTACAGGCTATTAGGACAAAGTAATAGGACAAGCTAATAGGACAAGGCTAATAGTACACACTAATAAGACAAGCTAATAGAACGAGCTAATAGTACAAGCTAATAGAACAAAGTAATAGGACAAGCTAATAGGACAAGCTAATAGGACATGCTAATAGGACAAGCTAATAGTACAAGGTAATAGGACAAGCTTATAGTACACGCTAATAGGACAAGCTGATAGTACGAGCTAATAGAACAAGGTAATAGGACAAGCTAATAGGACAAGCTACTATGTTTGAAAACTCTTTTAATTGAAGGTTAAAAGCTCAAAATCAGAAGGAAGAATAGAAATTGCTCAAAAGGGTCAAGAAGAAAAGGAAGTATCAACAGAGGAAAAACGAGTATCAACAGATGAAAAACAAGTATCAACAGATGAAAAACAAGTATCAACAGATGAAAAACAAATATCAACAAAAGAGAATACAGAAAACAGTTCCAGGAAACATTCTTCTAGTCAGACAACAGAACAAGTCATGTATGTAATAATGAAAATTACAGTGAATCTTATGTTGATTTTTGTTAAGGTTTGTTTCTTACAGTAAATGTAAATCAGGAGAATGTAAGTAATTTTAATGAATTCAAAATGAGGCAGAAATCTTTATGTGTGATGATTTGATATACTAAGATGAATGTTTCCTTTTAATATTTCCATATCAATTGCATTTCTTGCATCCTTTTTTAGCAATGGTAAAGAACTGATGGATATAGAAAATAAAGAATATTATGAAAATATTGCTCAAGAAAGTTTAGACAGGTATGATCTATAGAATCTTATTGACTTTTTTTATCAACCATGTAGTTGAACCTTTTATGAATTATTTTATAGTGTGACTAATAAGGATGGTGGTTATGTTGCAACCCAATTAAAGCTTTTATCACCTTATAGTCATCCTCATTGTTACTCCTTGAAAAATACCAACATGATGTTGCAAGCATTGAGGCGTTTATACACCAGATCCAACATGACAAGTTAGGACACGGCATGACACAACACAACACACCCATTGACTGTCAAAATGGTACGCCAATAAAATATTGTGTGCTGTATCTTCATGTTAAAGGTGATAATGTAATATATAATTGATAATATTTGTGGAAGAAATGGAAACAGATTATAGAGTTTTTTTCATTTTCATTTGCCATGTCAGAAGGAATTGTGCTGTGTTATGTTGTTCTGTCAGACCACAACTAGTATGTATAGTTTATGCAATCTATATTGTTGGGATCTGGTGTATAAACGCCTTTAGAGTTAGTGTTGTTTTTAGATTGAATCAAAATTACACAGTAATAAACTGACGTTTACTTGAAACTGTAGTGTTCTGTTTACCTGAATTTTTAGTTTTTTGTTTACATGAAATCGTAGTGGTTTGTATGCACCTATTCTCTATTCATACCCTCTGGATATTTTGATCAATTTGTTCAACCCGTTATTCTGTCCTTTCTTATCATGCTGCCCTTAGGAATCTGATATCTTTATGTAAGAAATTAGTTAAAGGTAATGTTACTAATGTAATGTCAGAGGAACATGAGAGCTACTATCAGAAAGTTGTTCAGATGGCTGCCATTACAAGGTATTCCAACTTTTTAATCTCAGTTCCAGACCTTGTGCATTGGTGTTTATTTATTGATTGTTAAATTCATACTAAAACTGACATTAGTATTGTAAAACCTAACATTAACTGTTAATCTAAATTAAACTAAACAGTTTTCACCATTTACATTGATTCTGGAAATCTTTGAAATAGATTATGGTCTTCAAAAGCATATATTTATATCTTTTTCAGAAACCTCCAAAGGGAGGGAATTGAGGAACCAAAAAGTACATCTGAGAGGTCAGTAAATATTAGCATATAGATCATTTATTTTATTCAAATTCAATATTAGTAGCAGTAAACTAAAATTCATAAATAGGAGATAGTTAATTATATAGTTATTGTTGGTATTTTATTGTCTGTATAATGCAATTTTCTGTTTTATTGAAACATTTTATAAACATGTGAATAAGCTTATAGAGATAGTATTGTCTACAGATTTACCAAGCTATTAAAAACTTTTATTAAGATGTCTGTATTGCTTCTCAGAATGAGACTTTCAACAAAGACAACAGTCTAAGTAGTTAAAATGTCCAAGATATATTGCTTTGTAATTATAGCCACGACTCTGGAAAAGGAAGTCCAGCTCTCTCACGAACTCTACTAGCTCAGTCTGCAGCCAAATCATTCCTGGCAAAGTTAGTTATGTGTCATGCACATTAAGAATATTATGCACTGTTTCACTGTAAACATACACTTTTCTTTTTGTCTTTTTTGTCAAATTGCCATACTTAGTATACTCAGCGTGTGTATATATTAGTATTCACTCAGATGTACATGTTATATTGA